CTATACTCCGTAAGTACTCCTTCATCTATACTCCTGTAAGTAACCCCAATACAATTCCCTGGGCCCCCGATGTGAACTTTGGTGGTATCTGTGCTTTTGTCTGTCCTCGGTTCCCTAGCTGGAATAAACAGATGTTGATAGTCATGACACTCCACTAGCAGAGGTCTTTTGGAAGCTCATCCCTTGCTTCCTCTGAACTTTGCCCATGAGTCCTTTCCCTTTACTGGTTTTGTTTTGTGTCTTTTATGCAGTGTGGTTTGCTGTGTTTTGGGAGCCTTACTAAAGCACTAGATTTTAGCATGGCTTGGTGACTCCCACCACAACCTTTCTGGGAATGACCACAAAATAGTCACAGGAGACAAAGAAAAATGAATTACGTCATACTTGAGTACGAAGAGAAAGCAGCCTACTGTAGTTGACGTTTTCTCTGGTCCTGCCCAGCCCCATGGACCCTGCAGCCACTTTTAAAATAATCACTCAGAAGCTTATATTAATTAAAACTGCTTGGCCATTAGTTCAGGCTAACTACTGACTAGCTCTTACATTAAACTCAGCCCATTTCTGCTAATCTATACGTCACCATGTTTTCTGTGGCTTTACCTGTGTGCCATTACATGTTACTCCCTGGACAGCGGGCTGCTGTCTTCTGCCTCAGCCTTCTTCTTCCCAGAATTTGCCTTGTCTGCTTATCCCGCCTATACTTCCTGCCTGGCTACTGGGCAATCAGTGTTTTATTTATCAACCAATCAGAGCAACACATATTCACATCATACAGAACATCCCACAGCAGCCTACTTACCCATCCTGTCAATCAAATATTAACTGAATTAAATCTAATTCATTAGGCCTGCAAGGTTAAAAAAAAAAAGCAAAACAGTTCTTGAGACACCAGTCTTAATATGGAAGAACAGGGAGATTAAATTTTCAACTGTAAAGGAAAAAAAAAAAACATAACAGGTGGTAGGCTTCCCTGATCTAGCCTCAGGATCATTGTAATGCTTAGTTATTAGCAAGGAAGAGAACTCAATGGAACTTTTCTACAGAATCTGAAAACATGAATCTAAAACTGTGTAAGAATAAGTAAGAGTCCAAACTGTGAAGGCAATTCTGACAAGGCATGCCTATCAGGGACCATTAGAAAACTATAGAAATGTAGCTAGTATGAGATTGAACAAACAGGCCAATGGAACAGACTAGACAGCTCTAGGAATATCTACCAGAAATGGAAAATACAGATGTTTGGTGCTACAGATCTTGGGAAAGGATTGTTAAGTGTGCTGACATAACAGTCTACCCACACAGGAAAAATAAGTTAAATTCCTGTCTTGTATCACTGACCTCTGGGTATTTAAAATACTTCATTATAAAAAATCTACTTGAATTAAACTCACACAGCAAAATCTCCCCTTATACTGCTGAATCACAGCCAACAATCTTCATTTTATAAACTGTGTTCCCTACTAGGACCCCAAGGGCCTATGAGCTTTTTAAAGTAGCACTCAACCTCAATTTTACACCAACTTTTAAGATAACATGAACCTTACCTCATAGATCCTGGCAATGCCACAAAGCAGGGTCACCTCTCCTGGAAACTTATCTAAGCCTTGTTTGAATAGATTTAAAGCAGTCACGGGTTGGTCCAATATGATATAGACCTAAAAGCAAGGTATATTTCAATAAGATTACTGTACTGGTTTTTAAAATAATTGCATTTGCATGACAAGTTTTAATTATTGATTAGAAACAAATTTTCTCCCAGAAACTAAAGTAAGAATTTCCACAGACATAATTAGAGTCTAATAACAACTTTACAGTTTATCTGTACATTTTACATAAAATTTATCACCCCAAGAAATGCTTACTGTAGGGATATTATTGTCACAAAGGCTGGGTAATACCTAAACTAGAAAGGGTCAGGGGAACATCTCCCCACTGCCCACACCAACCCTCCACTCCCTAGGAGTCTCTGATATTCACATCTTTTGGGTTGTTTCTAGGCCCACTGAGTTCAACCAGGGTAATGCGCCTGACTATTGGTTTCAAGCTACCCACTGGAGCCTTGCAGGGCTTACCAATGGTACCCAACTGAAGACAATGGCTGTCCTTCCCCTGGAAAATACCAATAGGCAAAAGTTCAGCAGGATAGAGTGTGGTCTTGTAAGCCCTTTCTTCAATCCATGATTGACTGATTTTAGGCTTAGTCTCATGCAAGCAATTGTAACTGCTATGAGGTCATGATTCAACGGCTGTGTCACGCCCAGAGGAGAGCAGTTCACAGCTTCTTCCCTCCCTTCCAGCTCTCACACTTTTCCTGCTCATAGCACACTTCTTAACTTGGAAATGTCTTTGCAGATAAGTCACAACAGTGTAATAACTACCACTTCATCAAGTGTTTTCTTTCAAAGTGGCCTTGATGAGGCTCAGGAGGTGACTTTATCTATCCCAATACAAGTAGAGCTTCCCTTCTCTGAAATGTTTTACCCCAGAAGTGTTCTCAATTTCTGATTTTGGGGGTATTCTGGAGTACTGTGGAACCCAAATCTAAACACAAAATTCATTGATTTTTTTAAAAAGTTTTTATTTTTATTTTATGTGTATGAGGTGTTCGTCTGCATGTATGTTTGTGTACCATGTGTGTGCCTGGAACCCTTGGAGGCCACCAGAGGGTGTCAGATCTCTTGGAACTGGAGTGCAGATGGCTGTGTGCCACCATGTGGGTGCTGGGAATCGAGCTGGATTTTCTGGAAAACGACAAACGCCTCAAGTGCTGAGCCATCTCTTCAGCCCTCTCATTGATTTTTTTTCCCATCTACATGTAAGGCAGTTTTACATAATCAGTTTTACAATATTACACCCGTGTTTCGACTGTGACACATCCCATGACATCAGGTGTGGAATTGTAGCATCATACAGTGGCATTCAGTATATTTCAGATTCGGGAGCATTCCAGATTTCAGATACTCAGATTAGGAATGTCCAATCTGTATTGATAACTAGGTGGCCCTTGTACTGAAGCTACAGGTCACATCACAAAGCACAGTGGACTTGAATGCTTGCTGCTAACAGCCCAGTGATGCAGAAAACTTGACCTCTTGCAGTCTCGTCTTACTTAGCGGCACAAAGGAAAGTATAAACTTTGTCCTCTAGGGTTACTGCATGGATTAAATTAATCTGTCTTTACTAACAAGCCTGCTACAATATCCTATACTGAACTGTGCTCAAAACTGAGTATCTAATGTCCTATAAAACAATCCATGAAATGGTCCATGTTCTTAGAGCAGGGTTTGATAGTACAGCCCTGGAATCTCAGCTACCCAGGAAGCTGAGGCAGGAGGATGGCAAGTTCAAAGGCTTTCTGGACTATACAGTGAAATCCTGTTTCAAAAACAAAGGGACCTTGTTCTCTACAACCTGCTCAGGTTTGAGACAATAAATTGTAGAAAATGCCTTTCTATTACCTACAGGGTGGGGAATCTATGATATTATTTCCCTCTGTCCTAATAAGCAATCCGTCAAAGGGATTTTCTTCTTTTTCCACAGCCATCAACTCCTTGTGCCGTGGGTACCCTCCATATGTTATTTTTCACTTGCTACAAAAAATAAGTCTGAACATATTAACTTGCCAAATATTCCAGAAGGAACTGGCAAATTTCCCCCATGCAATGGCCAGCACCCTAAGAAGGCAGTTTTCACTCAAGTTAAGAATATTTACTTACTTTCGCCAGATAGAGAAATGTGTCTACCATTTCCTGCTGCTTCAGGGCTGACTTAAACTGCTTCTCTGCTTCCCGGTACATTCCTAACCTAGAAATGGCCATTCAAAAATCAGACATTCAATTGAAAAATCAACACTACATCATATTTTTTTTTCAAGCCCTGAGGATATGAACAGACACATCTCATCTTGGAGCAAGCATATATCAAAGCAGGTGAGGCTGTGCACACAGATAGTAACATGTATGTTAACAAAAGCTAGCAAAAAGCCACCTGTCTCCCATGGTCACGAGCTAGCTAAGCCTCAGATGGTGTGTAAAGACGACAACCTAGCTGCAGCAGGACCAAGAGCTGTCTCTAACGGGGTCACGTCAGTTCACCACCGTGAGAGCTTACGATCAGCTGCACATATGGCAAGTGACCTGGATAGCTGTGGAGCTGCCACTTCGTTTCTTTGAAAACATCTCCTTCCTAAGACAACCCCCCCACCCCCGCTAGTTATCCCTATACTATTTTAATGAAAGCGACAATAGCCACGTGCATGCTACAGCTGTATCATCATTTTTTGTACAAACCTTGTTTTCCTCTGCCCTTAGTAGCTGGCCTGCTCTGTGAATCTGAAACTTGATCCTTGCCTAAGTGGTGGTCTTGACGTCACTGTCAATGTCTGTGGCTCAGGAAGCACTGTTCCCACCAGGACAATCACCGAAGCACACCTGGGCTATGATTTCTGATAACAATTCATTCTCAGCGCTCTATGAGCGACTTAGATATATTTTTGGTAAAATAAACTAAAAATTATTTACAATCTGCCCCATTGTGCTAATGCCACATAAAGGCTGGGAAGAATAGCTTTGATCATTTTTTCCTGATCTAGACTTCAAGCGTTGGTGGAGCTATATACTAGCAGCTACTGGAGGAGGGCATTCAAGAGCCGAAAGGTGGCTTCAACAGGTTAGTGTAAAGTTAGAGGGCATGTAACGAGGCAGAAGCCCCTTCCTCTTAAAGGTCCCATCCACTTCACAGACTATGTATGAAATATTATCAAAGCACCCCAAAGTTCTGAGAAACAGGAATAATAAAAAATAAAATGAATTTGCCACACAAATTATTGAACAAAAGCATGGAGTAGGCCATATTCAAAGATGTCTAGGGGATGGGAGACAGCTCAGCTGGTAGAGTGTCTGAAATACAAGCATGAGGACCTAGGCTCAATCCCTCAGACCACATCAAATCTGGGCCTCGTGACATGTGCACGCAAATGCCAACGCTGAGGAGGCAGAGACAGGTGGGTGGATACTGGACCTTTCTGGACAAGCAGCCTAGCCCAACCGGCCAGCCTCAGACCGAGAGAATGTGTGAAAAAAAGGTGTAAGGCACCTAAGGAAGGACACCTGGAGTTGACCTCTGACCTTCACATATGCACGTATGCACATATTCTCTCTCTCTTTATGTCTCTCTCTCTTTATGTCTCTCTCTCTGTCTCTGTCTCTCTTTCACACACACACACATACACACACAAACACACTTTTATAAAACACATTTAGACACATACAAAAAAATACACAATAAAAGACACATCAGTTAAGTTCATAGACTCAAGCCAATATCAGAGAATCCAGAAAGACACTGCCAACCTTTTCCCTGCCAATGAACTCAACAGAAGTGCGAGGCATCACCGTACCACACTTCACCATGTTAAAAAGATGTGAAAATGCAGAGGGTAATAAGCACGCCCTTAAAGCGATAACAAGGGCTAAATGTGTTCACTGACTTCGATGGCCAAGAGAAAAATTACCTGTAGAAAGTGAGTAAATCAAGAGAACAGTGGATGACGATTCAACTGTGAGATAAGGTGTGTGCTGGCATGCCTTCCCAAGGGGAAGCAGCTATGACATGAGCCCACAGGCAGGAAGTGGAGGGCACGTCAGGGCCAGGCTAAGGAATCTGGTCTAGCTGAAGAGGACATAACAATACAAACAGTGAGAGACATGGGAAAGCAGGTCGGCTGGGAGAACAGCGTTAGACACACTGACAGGCTGAACGGAGGACCATCAAGGAGTCCCGGAGCAGCTGGTCTGTGCACAGCTCCCTCACTATACTCAGGCAGGGTTGACGAGATGAGAGACTGGAGGCAGAACACCCAGGGGAGAGGTTACTGTGAGAACTCAACAGACACGACGATGCCCATAAGTAAGTGGTTCTCAACTTGTGGGCCACGACCCCTTTGGAGGACAAATGACCCTTTCACAGGGGTCGCATATCACATGCATATCCTGCACATTAGATATTTACATTATGATTCATAACAGTAGCAAAATTATGGTTATGAAGTAGCAACGAAAATAATTTCACGGTTTGGGGTCACCACGACCAGAAGCACTGTATTAAAGGGTCACAGCACTAAGAAGGTTGAGAACCACTGCAGTAAGTGATAACAAAATGTCCAGAATTAGGGCCCTGGAGTGGGGCTGGGTAGGAGAGGAACTTCAAGAGTGCAGAGATGGGGGCAGGAGAACACAGAGGCCAGGAACAAAGGCTGAGGCCAGCTTCAGACTACATCCTCAGTGAGGCGTCTCTGAGTTCTCGGTTGACGTCACAAGCTCAGCCAACTTCAGAATACATCCTCAGTAAGGCATCTCTGATTCCCTCAGTTGACGTCACAAGCTCTTTCTCTGGGTTCCCAGTGTGCCATGCCCTTGCTTCCGTAATAACAGGAGTCATCATAATAATTATTTGTTGTCTGCCTCAGCATTTAAAAGTACAATCTAATAAATCTTTGTGGTCCCATTTGAGAGTGATTGCTCATTATATTTGGCTAAGTGGGTGACTGTATAAATGAGTGAACACATAGTAAAGATGTTCCGAAGAACAGAACAATAACTTAATATGATAAAATGCATTCATTTGAAAGAAGACACACTTGGAGAAATGGCATCATCTATGGGCAGCACAAAGAGTCTGAGTTATGCTTTCCTTTAATTATTAACCATGTCTGAAGGTTTTGTATGGAAGCTCAAGATGCTAAAACTGTCTTTAAGAATTAAAGCCGTAAGATTTTAATGTTAGAATGACCTCACATTATCTTCTAGTACAAAACACTTTTCAATTTATCAGTGGAAAAAATGATTCAGAGTTGTATGTGCAAAGTCTAAATGGAGAGTACTCCTCATTTCCACAAGAGCGACAAGCACGCTTCCAGCCCATTGACTTCCTTTTCCTCACAGAGCACTGGTCTGGAAATGTTGATGGTTGCTCACAATAGTGGATGCCTATTTGATTCTTAATAATACAGAGCAATTTACCATTATAAAATATGAATTTTCCATCTTTCCCAGAGGTTCTGAATTTTCTGAATATCAGCAGCAAGTTTCAGATGGCACTAAAATTAGTAACAACTTTGCTGACCTCTCGGCTTGTTTTCCTTTGGATGTATTTAAACATTAAGCACATTTAAAAAACATTCAGGTCCTAGAAAAACAATAAGGGTTATGGAAATAGGAGCTGAGTGTGGTAGATTGCTAATCCTGGCACTCCAAAGATTGAGGCAGGAACATCATGAGAGCGAGGCCAGCCTGGGCTACATAGTGACATTCTGTCTGAACTAAATAAACACAATGTTAATATGAGAATCAGAACCAGAAAATGAAACTGAAATTCTTGTGTATCACTTCTCAGCTCTATGAATTTAGACAACTCGCTTCACCTTGGCCAGGCTCAGTCTTCCTCAACCGAGCAGCTACCTCCAGCAGTCTCAAGCGAGATGAGGTAAAGCACAAACAAGCTGGCTCTTGTCTGCAGGGCTCCCTACAGATGGGAGGCATTTGTGTGAGGAACTGAGAGCCAGGAGGACAGACCTAAGTGAGCACTCTGGGTTCTAGTCCCAGGTCTGTCACTAATCAGCTCATGAGGAAAATCACAACCGAGCTCTGCCTCAGCTTCCTTGTGTGACGTTCTCAGGGCACCAGGTCTTATTGCTGTATGTGATGGCTCAGAAAACATTTGCTCAAATAAGCCCAGGTTGTCACTGCTTCATGAGGACAGTTGGTTTTTTTCTCATGATCCTATCTGATGGCATGAAACACTTCTCCTTTGAAGACTGTCACAAACGATGAAGGTCTTACCTGTAGTAACATTTCCCAATCTGCACTTTCCACCACCAGTCCTTGTACTGAGAATGCTCCGTGGAGAGGGACGCCAGATCCAAAGCCTTTGAAAACAATTCAAGACAGGCAGGAGGATAAATAATTAAATAAGCCACACAATTAGCATCCATCAAAACATGTACTAGAAATTAGATAGAAACTCAGGTTGCCCAAGTTTCCAGATGGCCCCGCAAATTTCCCCTAAATAATCAGTTCCAGGCCAGGGGGCTGGCAGCACAGAAGTTGGAGACATTGGTCGAAGGGAAGCAGATGCACAATAAATCAGAATACAATTTTAATATACAAGGCACGGAACTGAGATTTAAAACACTAGGATTGTACTCTCTTCCTACTTCGTATCTACTCTCTAAAGATTCAAAATGCCTCAAAACTTGGCAATGTCAAGCTTTCTGTATGTGAGGTGGGTCCAGCAGTAGTCACCGTTAAACACAGATGTAGAGAAAGGACCAAGTAAGTAGAGAGAAAAGGGGTTTGGAAGGGCAGGAGCCATTGCCCCTTCAGGGGTTGAGTATTTGCCTCACATGCCTGACCAACCCGAGGTTCAATGTCTAGTTACACCAGAGGAAGAGTGAAGCATGGGCTTGCTATTGCTATGCAGGCGTGAGACATGAGTTCAGACCCCCAGTCCCCAGGAAAAGCTGTGGATGGTACCGTGTACCTGTAACCTCCATGCTGGAGGTTACACCATGGATTCAGAACAAGAAAGAAAGGGGTTTGGGGATGACACAGAAGAGGCAAAGAAGTCTGAGTATTTGGGTTACTGCTGCCTTCAATGATCACAACTCCATAGCTCTGATGTCACGTTACCTTCTAGTAATTAACATTTTTCTCCATATTGTAACTATTTACTCCACGTCTTTTTTTTTTAAGGATTCGTGTGTGTGTGTGTGTGTGTGTGTGTGTGTGTGTGCACATGTGTGTAAGTGCACGTGTGTAAGTGCACATGTGTGTAAGTGCCTGCAGAGGCCAGAGACGTCACATCCCCTGGACTTGGTGTTCCAGGTGGTTTGTACACTTCCGGATGTGGGAGCAGGAACAGGAACTAAACTCTGGCCTCGACAAGAGCAGTATGTATGACCTCAGCCACCTCTCCACCACAATCCCGTATCTTTTCTAACTTTTTCCTTCCATGCTTTTCCATGATCAGACAAGAGGTAACCAATTAAGAATTGGGATTTTTATAGAGAGGAAGGAAAACCTTTCGACGGAGGAGAAAGGGAGTAAGTCTTTACACAACTGTGAAGTTCACGGAAATCTAAAAGTTCTATAAAGATTCAGTGAATCGAACTGGAGTTATCAGTTAAATGAGAATTCTAATTTTTAATACTTGTTTTCTCATTGTTGGAACTGCTTTGTTCAGAGTCAGTGTTAATATAATCACGAGAGCCAACAGTTCCATTAAAGGAACACTTGGTTGCTCCACTTCTATTATCTCAAAATGCATCCCCTATTACTGTCCTCTTTAATATCAGCTCTCTTCTGAAATGAATGCCAGAAAAGTCCCCTCCACCTCCTATTGCAAAATTAATTACTTTTCCATTTGTTCTCTATCTCTCTTGCTCCAGGGGAGACCTCTAAATATGCAAACTACTTATCCAGGAATGGTGTCACCATGCTGAGCCTCTAATGGACCTAAAAAACCAACATCTCTACTTGAATGCTATGGAAATTAAAAACAAGCTACATATGATTATACTTTCATGTGCTTATTTTTCTTTTTCCCCTCTAGCCAGAAGTAAAAGTGAAGATGAAAAGAGAGAAGTATGACTTCAAGTGGTATTGTCTCTGGAAACACTGAGAAACTTGTATTTTTAGAGGGGTCTAATCAGGCATGCACTGTAAATATCTATGCATATTAACTCTGACTCAATCTTTATTAAGCCCTTTCTCAGCAAATAGATCACATTCACTGCCATGTTTAATGTACACAGATCTTCTACTGTCTTTGGAAAAAGCTTCCATTTGAATGCTTCTTATGTACCCTGACTTCCTAAAGTTAGATCCAGTGCTTATGACGGGTAGCCGAGTTTGCCTTCAGATACAGTCCTGAATCAAGTCGTCCTATGGAGGAACCAGATGTTCCCGATAATTCAACTAAGGAAAATATAAATTGCTGAGACAATAAAAATGGTAAGAAAAAGTTACATCTTAGCAATTCTTATTCACATGAAGACTTGGGCTGAATTAGACAAGAATACTTGTGATGATTTTTGAAGCTCCCTGCCCTCCCCCAGGGGAGACCCTTTGTGGGCATTTGAATGAGACTGTTCCTATAGGCTTATGTACTTGAACACTGGCCCCCAGTCGGTGGCACTGTCTGAGGGGGGTTAGGAGGTGTGGCCTTGTTGGAGGAAGTGTGTCACTAGAGGCCAGCTCTGAGAGTCATTTCCAGTTTTCTCCCTGCTTTGTGCTTACAGTGCAAGATGTGAGTTCTCAGCATCCTGTTCCAGCTGCCATGGCAGCCTGTTACCTCCAATCAACCATTATGGACTCTGACCCTCTGGAACCATACGCCAAAATAAACTCTTTCTTCTCTATGTTGCCTTGGTCATGGTGCTTTGTCATAGCAACAGAAAAGTAACTAATATGCCTTCTTTCCATCTCCGCTGTTCAGGAATGCTGTGGGGTGATCTGTATGTCAAATGTGTTGCTCTGATTGGTTAGTAAATGAAACACTGATTGGCCAGTGGCCAGGCAGGAAGTATAGGTGGGGCAAGCAGAGAAGGGAATTCTGGGAAGTAGAAGGCTGAGGCAGAGAGACACTGCCAGCCGCCACCATGACAAGGGAGATGTAAGGTACCTGTAAGCCACAAGCAACGTGGCAAAGTATAGATTAACAGAAATGGGTTAATTTAAGATAGAAGAAGTAGATAACAAGAAGCCTGCCACGGCCATACAGTTTATAAGTAATATAAGAGTCTGTGTGTTTATTTTATAAGTGAGCTATAGGACTGCTGGGGCTTGGTGGGACCTGGAGAGAAGCTCTCCAGCTACACAGGAAGGCCACTGAGTTCACAAGAGGCACTGGAGAACGGCTTGCTCAGGTCATTAACTGGAGTCCTTACCTCTGACTGGTGTGGAAAGGAGTTTAAGAACCAAACAAACTCCTTGTGGTAGTTTGAATGTATTTGGCCCCCATAAGCTCATAGGGAGTGGTACTATTAGGAGGTGTGGCATTGTTGGAGGAAGTGTGGTCTTGTTGGGGGAGGCTGGGTGATACACATGCCTTCCAGACCCTGAGGCTGGAGGGCACAATCTGGGCCATACCTTCTGTCGGAAGTATGTCACTGTGGGGGCAGGCTTTGGGGTCTTTTTCTCAAGTTTCACTCAGTGTGACGGTCATTTGACTTCTTGTTGTCTGCCTATGAAGATGTAAGGACTCTCAACTCCAGCACATGTCTGCCTGCAAGCCACCGTGCTCCCTGCCATGATGGACTGAACCTCTGAACTCTAAGCAAGCCCGCTCAATTAAATGTTTTCTTTATAAGAGTTGCCAGGGTCATGGTGTCTCCTCACAACAATAAAAACCCAAACTAAGACATTTCTATGTTTACAACTACTAGCATTTAAAATATTTTTTAAGTAGTGGCATAAGACATGTATTTCTTTAAAATTCTGACTCATATTCTGTGTGTGTGTGTGTGTGTGTGTGTGTGTGTGTGTGTGTGTGTGTGTGTGTGTTAAGCCACAGGACAGCCTTGGTTGTTGTTCCTCAGGTACCATCTACCTCATTTTCTTAAGACAGGGCAGCTCACTGGAACTTGCCGAGTAGACCAGACTAGCTGGCCAGCAAGTACTCCGGGGATTCCCTGCACTAGGTTTATAAGCATGGGCCTCCCTCCATACCTAACTTTTTCTACACTGGTCATGTGGACTGAATTCAGGTCCTCATACTTGCCTTGCAAGCACTTTATGGACTGAGTTATCTCAAATTCTTTACCATGTGTATTTACATTTAAGAATCTTTGCAACTCCAAGGCAGACTTTCCTTGGAATCTGCCCCACCTGTGCCTCTGGGCACACAGTCCATGCTGCAGGGCCCAGGAAAAGGACTGCTACGCTCTAGCCTCACTCCTTGGTACCCTCTCTGGGCAGCCTAAAGCCATGTCTTCGAACACTCTTCAGCTGCCCAAGATAAACACTATTCTCGGCCTTCATCAGGGAAGCCTCCTTTTCCAGCGAATAGTGGTGAGTATGGAAACTGATGGCTACAAAGAGTGCCGAGAAAGGGGGACGTACAAGTGCCGGACCTTTAACAAAACATTTACGTCATCACTTCCAAGACTCAAGGAACACTGGGGAAGGGGCGGGGAGGACTATAAGAGCTGTAAGACAGGGAAAAGGGCTGCGAAATGTCATGTCCTGGGCAAGACACGGCCCTTGCAATCACAGACTCACAGCTGCTGCAGATCCCTATGCTGTGTCTGCACAAGAACAGGAACATCAACAGCCAGGCATGGATGGAGGAGGAGCCCTGGGGCCCCGACCCCTCACTGCTGAACTATTCACTACTGGGAGATGCAGGCAGAGAGGGAGTCATTGCCTTCAGCTGTGTGGCCCCTGGTGACCCCTCCACATTCCAGTGGAGAGTCTAACTCCAGCAATTACATAGAGGGTCTTGGTTAAAATCAACAGATAATAAAACAAACACCATGTCATGAATCTGGGAAAAGGGCTGATGGGGATGAGGGGGAGGGAAAGGGGAGTAACCAGCATTATTATGTACATATAAAAATAAGTGTGGTGGTTTGAATAATAAGGCCCCCATAAGCTCACAGATTTGAATGCTTAGTTTTCAGGGAGTGGCACTACTTGAGGAAGATTAGGAGGTGTGGCAATTTCCTTCTTGTTGAAGGAAATGTGTCACTGGGGGTATTATTTGGGATTTCAAGGGCCTAAGCCAGGCTCAATGTCTCTCTCTTCCTGCTGCCTGCTGATCTAGATATGGCTCTCTCAGCTACTTCTCCAGCACCATGCCTGCCAGTGTGCCACCATACTTCCCACCATGATGTTAATGGACTAAACCTCTGAATTGTAAGTAAGCCCAGTTAAATGCTTTCTTTTATGAGAGTTGCTGTGGTCATGGTGTCTTCTCACAGCAGTAGAACACTGACTAAGACAGTGAGTAATTAATAGCTTTATTAAGCACTATTTATTACTAATAATATGTATTTAATATAAAACCCTAAAATGTCACTTTTAAAAGCCACAAATTTGTTGAAGTCCAGCTGTAGAAGGAACTTTGGCAAATCTGGACAGTGTAGTCTGTGAATATGTCCAAACACTAAAAACTTTTAAAATTTTGTTTACAGTTATGACAACTTCAAGATGCTGAAATTAAAGAGCATGTGGAAATAAAGATTCCAGATCATCAGTCCACATGTATTACTGCCAATTATCAGCCAAAAGCAGAGAGAAAATGTCATTAAAAACTTAAACATATACATGTAAGTAACAAGAATAAAAGAATTAGTACAGTTTCCTTTAGTCCAATTTTACTCTGTGTCTTAGGGTTTGTATTGCTGTGAAGAGACACCATGACCACAGTGATTTTAAAAAGGAAAACATCTAATTG